GCTCATTCATCATATTGTTTGATTAGATATTCTTAATCATCGTTATTGGTGTTTACTAAAAAATTATCTCCTATTTTAAAAAAATATATTACAGTTACATAAAACGAAAAAAAAAAATTATAAGCTTTAATCTCATTGCTAAAATCAAATAAATAAAATAACTTACTGCTTTTAATAGACGGTTTTGGTTCATGATGCATGCAAAACTCCATCCTTGTAAAACACGGCTACACACTAAGTTAAATTCAATGTATATTTTGACTGAATGGAAGTTACAAGCATCGCTATTTTAATATTATACATATAGATATAAAATTATATTTATTTAGAAATTAATTTTTCTTTAAATGTGTCTTAAAATAATTTGATAAGGGCATTGTTTTATTGAATTAATTAAATACCATAATATATGATAAATTTTTAAGAAAATAGATCTCCCCGGCAAAAAGGAAGCCAGAACGCGTAATACGTCATGCACTCGAGTTTTGGCTTTACTTAAACCTTTTGTTTACTATAAGACTAATAATAATAGCTAAATTTATAAAGATAATGTCAATATGCAAAATTATGCTTGCTATTTACCGTATTTCTATGGAGCTGTAATAAACCGTCATGTCTAGAGTCAATATAATTCAAGTGGATGCTTCCACGAGAGACAATGATACGTAATATTGCCAAAGCTCTTCAACCTAGCCCTAGAAGACGACTTCAAAACTACAAATTGGTCAACTCATGGCATTACCGTTAATGGCAACAAGTTAAACCACCTCAGATTCGCTGACGACATAGAGATTGTAGCGAGCACATTCGAGGAACTACAAATTATGTTGGGGGAACTAGCAGCCAGCTCCCAATACGTCGTCGGCCTAAAAATGAATTTGAAAAAAACAAAAATAATCACAAACACAGATGACCCCAGACATAGCATGGGCAGGATTTGTAAAACTTAGTTGGATACTTAAGAACCGCAAAATACCACAATACTTGAGAAGCAAAGTGTTCAACCAATGCATCCTTCCTATCATGACATATGTATGTCAAACCTGGATCCTTACCAAGGAAAACATGAATAATCTAGCCAAAACAGAAAGAACAATGAAAAGAGCAATTTTAGGTATACGACTGTCAGATAAAAAGAGGAATGACTGGGTAAGATCCAAAACAAAAGTCGAGGAGATAACAACAAAAATTGCTAAACTTAAATGGAGCTTCGCAGGCCACACTGCTAGACAGAAATACCAACGTTGGAATACAATATGAAGACCTTACGAAAGTAAACGACCAAGAGGAAGACCACAGATGAGATGGGTTGATAACATTAAAAAATAGCTGGAAGAAATTGGAAATATGTTGCTCAGGATAAAGACCGATGAAAGGAATTGGGAAAGGCCTATTTCTAAACATGGACGACAGAAGTCTAAGAAGAAGAAGAATATACTTCCACGTAAAGTACCTAGAAGTGACGTTGTACCAGAACGAAAAATGGGTGGAACACATGCGGAAGGTGGCTCGGACGGCTGCAAATAGTGCGATTGGGTTAGAAAGGGTGATACCTAAGATTAGGGACGCAAATCCGAAACAATCGTGCCTTACACGATGTTGTGCAGTCGATCTTGTCCTACGCAGCACCAGCCTGGAGTGGGGCGGTAGAGATAACAGCGTGTAGGAGGCTGATGACACAATTGGACAGAACAAGTTTGTGGCGAGTATCATCCACTTACAGGACTATGTCTGCGGCAGACCCAAACCTTACTTTGAAAAAGAGAAGACAGGAAACGGAAAAGTCAATTAAAAGGTCAAAAAGAATTGAACAATACGGAGGATGCGGTCTAGTGGACAAATATGCTGATCTGTGGCCATAGGCGACTGGATTATTTCCTAACACAGGTGCTTACAGGACACGGGTGTTTTAGAGCCTACCTCTCTAGGTTCCAAAATTCTAACATTAATGAGAGATATGTGTGAATTTTGTTACAGTAAGAGAAATGATTGTGAGAAGGATTCAAAATAAAGCAGGTTGGACTAGTGCACACAACTATATCCGTGCAGTGATCAAGAAAAAAAAAAGAGAAAGAAAGACTGTTCCAGCAACGGTAAAGGTAAGAGGAAAATATGCTGGAAGTTGATAGTAGAAAAGTGAGTCAGACTGTATGAGATAGACTGAGTGAGTTAGACTGCTTGAGTCCAGACATTTTGGAAAGAGAAAATGTTTGTCTTGTAGTAATTTCGTACTAGGATCAAAGTGGTCTTCAACGCTCTACCTGGAACGAAACAGGGAGCCTTCCTGCTGACAGTCTGTGGATGAATTAAGGTAGTGCTTTGAAAGTGATGCCAACCTTACAGCGGCTATTTCGGTTCCGGGTCGCTAGATGATTGGAGAGGAGGGTCTGCTTTAGCAGGTAAGCGTTCAGCGTAGACTCAGCGACAATAGGGCGTTTTAAAGTATCTCGGAAAATATCGCCAAGAGTACGAAGAACAAATCCTGCACTAAGGTCAGTCACTCGACGACTTGGACTGAGATATCTTTTGAAGATTCCAGACCTCCCTCTATGAAGACAAAATCAAAAAAAAAACAAAAAAAGACGCTTTCATTGTAGATAAACTGGTTAGAACAATGTTCCAACAAATTAGAGCAAGTATTAGAAGTAACCAAATTTAGAACTGTTACAATAATAATTGGAGATCTAAATCTAAAAATTGGTAGTGAATTGGCTGAAGTATATCAAGAGAACGATCTTATAATTGCCAATTATTATTATGATCTGTCGATCAGGAGACTCTACACATGAAAATATTTAGCAGACAACCAACATAACCTTACCAGAAATTAAATTGACTTCCTTCTCATATGCAAAAAATAGTGTACAGTAAGATTTTGTATTGTTATATTTGTCTAGTTTCAGCTCAGTATTTTTATTTTACTGTAGTTCATTTTTGAACTACTGTGGTTCCAAACCTGGAAACCAGTTTTATGCAACAGAAACCTGTCAATGAATATTCGTAAGAAGGTCCTGAAATGTTATGTGTGGTCGATCCTATTGTATGGTTGGGAGACATGGACGTTAAAAACCAGAATGCTAAACAAGTTAGAAGAATTCGAATTGTGGTGCTATAGACGAATCCTGAAGATATCGTGGGTTTCGCACACTTCCAATGAAGATGTTCTTTAAATGATCAATTCAGAACGTCTGCTCATAAACACCATAAAGAGGAGAAAAACAGAATACTTCGGCCATATAATTAGAGGACATAAATACCATTTACTTCGCCTTATAATACAAGGAAAAGTGGAAGGACAGAGATGGATTGGTCGAAAGAAACTTTCATGGCTGCGTAATATTAGACAATGGTGTGGTTCCACAGTAGAAGAATTATTTCACGCAGCAGCCGACAGAGAAAGGTTTCAGAAAATTGTAAACATGATGACGGCCAACGTTTGAATACGGACACGGCATCCAAAGAATAAGAAGTAGTTCATTTTTAAGCCTACCGTTCCTTAACTGCATATAATTGTTTTGACATATCATTTAATTCTTGGATATTATCGGCTATTAAATCTATGTCATCTGCGAATCTCAAGTGGTTTAAGTATGATCCGTCGACGTTGATACCCTTGTTGCTCTGAGAAGCACAGTGCGTAATTTGTCTAATAACATTATTATAAGGTTACCGCAGACCCATATTTTAACTTATCTGCTACAGTGTTATGTGTAGAATAAGGTTCATCTACGAGATATACCAATATTACAAACAAACCTCTATGGCAAATTATGCAAAATTACAAATATTGCGCTAGGCAGGTCACCTTGTAAGAATGGATAATAACAGAACGCCTAGTAAAACGCTTAGTGGAACTAGGTTGGGATTTGGATAATAGAAAAACAAGGAAAAGGTTGATGGACAAAAGTGAGAACTGATGCTAAAGAGCCATTGAGAGTAGATAAGTGGAGGAAAATATCAAAATACAGAGAGGAGTCCGCCAGGGTTGCGTGCTGTCCCCACTACTTTTCAATGTCTACAGTGAAGCGATATTTCAAGAAGCGCTCTCAGACTCAATAGAAGGTATATCTATCAATGGAGAAGTTTTGAATAACTTACGTTTTGCAGACGATACAGTAATAATTACGGATAACAACAATGATTTACAGAACCTAATGCAACGCCTTAATGAACGCTGTCATGAGTACGGACTGAAGATAAACTTAAAGAAAACTAAATCTGCACATGCAAATATCCAATTGACTATTGAAGATACTGCAATTGAGAATGTTAATAACTATAAATATTTAGGAACATGGATAACATCAGATGCAGACCAAACCAAACAAATTAAGACACGTATTGAAATAGCACGTACATCATTTATTAAACTTAAAAAGTTTCTTTGTTGTCGGGATATAAGGTTAGAACTACGCCTGAGAATGCTTCGATGTTACGTGTTCTCTACTCTTCTTTATGGTCTGGAAGCTTGGACACTAAAACAAGTTCATCTGAATAAGCTGGCCGCCTTTGAATTTTGGTGTTACAGAAGAATCCTACGAATATCATGGATCAAAGAATGTCAAACATGGAAATAACTAGAAGGATAGGAAATGAGGCGGAAATAATATTAACTATTAAAAGACGAAACCTTGAGTACTTGGGACATGTGATGAGAGGGCAAAAATACGCATTATTACAACTTATTATGCAGGGCAAAATCCGAGGAAAGCGAAATGTGGGAAGACGAAGAATATCCTGGCTTAAGAACTTAAGGGAATGGTTTGAATGCAGTAGTGCAGAACTTTTTAGAGCAGCAGTCAACAGAGTTCTTATAGCCATGATGATTTCCAACCTTCGATAGAAGATGGAACTTAAAGAAGAAGAAGAAGTGGAGGAAAGCAGCCAAGGAAAGGGATGCAGCGAGAGTTTAGAGTCTGACTTAACTGTAACGCCATAGAAGAGAGAACGTAGAGAAAAACAACGGAATAAATAAAAATATGTGCACAGTTAAAAATAAAATTTATTCTCTTTAATTTAGTAAAATTGTTTTAAAATAAAATATTTGTTAGATTTTAATTTTATTTACTAGAGAGTCCTCTTAACATAATAAATAGACATAACAAGTGATCTCTTTCAAACCATGGAAGGCTTACATATTTTCAATCTTATCTTTTGATTGGTAAGGGATGGTAATTTTCATGCTATTAACTTCATACACAACTGGTTATTTGCCACGCTGCTTTGTTCAAACCATAGCTCTTTTATCTGTTCTTGGTAGTAATAATGACAAAAGACTTCCGGCTGCAACAAAAAAATATGTATTTATAGAATTTGTTAGCAACTCAGACTAAATTAGATTAGCAAATAATTTTGTCTAAAAAATATGGTCTGGTTAATTATGCTTGTCAGAAAAAATATACACTTCTCCAAAAGTTAAAGCACCTTGGTTAATTTTTACTTAATTAGTGCGATCATTTTCATATATTAATTCGTATAGTGTCCTCTTGTATTCGTTAACGTATTCGTTAATTCGCACGCCTGGGGTACTTTTCAAAACTGTGAATACGTCCCCCCTTTACCCCTAGTAGATTACTGATCTAACCTGAGCCACTCCAATATTTAGAGTGGACTTTATAACTCTATATAGGGACTCTTAAAATATTACGAATTATTGAGTATTTAAAAATCTCAAATAAGACGAAATTTGTAAAAGAAAATAAACGAAACTCCCAAATATTAATTATTATTTATTAACTTTTTAACATCTTTATCATTATTTTTTGTAAGCATTTGAACCTGTGAGAGCAACATCTTTATCCGCTTGAACAAATTCAGAAAAACTCACACCGCTGATGTCAACTAATGTTTCTATTGCTGGTTTTTCATGATCCATAAGTATTGAAAGATTTTTGTGTTCTTCTTTTAAGAAACCAAATTTTTTAACGCAGTTAAGAATTGTTAGGGATGTTACACCTCTCCATGCCTTGCCAATCAGCAAAATACCTGTCATAACCGTGATATTTGCAGTTAGCTGCTTGTCGAGAGATTAGAAAACGAGCTTAACAATTTCTTTGCAATAGAACGTCTTAAAATTATAAATGATCCCATGGTCTAATGGTTACATTTTGGAAGTTGTATTTGGCGGAAAGAAGTAGAGTTTCACGTTAGAAAATATAGGACGATTGTTGGGGACAGTGCAATTGTCTAAAAATAGTAAAATTTTTCGTTTTTTTCCGTTTTACGTTTCCATTAACTGTTTAAAGCCAATTGTTAAAAAGTTTTGTCATCATCCAAGCTTTTTTTAGCATGATAATCCATAGAAAACGATTTCATGATTTTTGAAACATTCTGGTTTCATTGCTTTGAATGATGAGTTCGAATTAACGCGTCGTTTTTTTATATAGCAATTATTTTTTTCGTTTAAATTACCAAGTGCATAAAAACGTATTGATTTAGTTCGAATTATAAACAGATTTTTCAATAATAAAAAGAAAAAAAACTGCTTATCTGGGTCATATATTTCGAAATTCCAAGTACCAATTATTAAAGCTTATTATGAAAGGGAAGATAGAAGGACAACGAGGCATCGATAGAAAGAAATACTCATGGCTTAAAAACATAAGGGATTGGACAAATCTCGATGCGCATGCACTTTTTAGAGCCACACAAGATCGAGAGAAGTATGCCAGAATTGTCGCCAACATCCACTAATTGGATAGGGCACCATAAGAAAAAGATACAGAGAGTCTACTATCTTCTCCCTATTACAATTCAAATTTTATGTTGATTCTAATGTAGGTTATATTTCTTACCTGCCATAATGCTTCCAACGACAAAGAATGGAGGTGCACAACCCAAACTTACAAGAATAGGAAATTCAATATTACCAGTTAGCGCTCCAAATCTTGCACATGCCATTACTAAAGATATTGTAAATGCTCTAAAAACAAAAAAAAATAGTTTAAGTATTTACGGTATTTTTTAGTTCTATTACTAGTCCAGGCTGTGAGGCCGCTCATGTTGGGAAAATGTTTCTGATTCGGTCTCTTCGCGGATTCCGGTTCAAAAATGTCCCCTTTAAACAAATCTGAAGGGTGCCGGGCGAAATTTTTGGGCAGAAATTGTTTAAACAATTTTTTTAAACAAAGTCCAAAAATATCTTTTTTAATCTGAAAAACGTTTTTTTAGATTTTTTTAGCCATTTTAAACAAAAAAAGTCTCTTGTCATTTTTCTCTGAAGTTGATAGTTTTCGAGTTATAAGCGATTTAATGTCTGAAAAACGCGAAAATACACATTTTTGAGGCTTGAAAACACATATGTAAATTATTATTTTTAAGGTTACCAAGTGTCTAAATTGAAGTTTAAACATTCAACTTCAAGATTGTGAAAAGTAATCGGGGCTTATTTTAATTTAGACCGTTATTTTGTACCGTGCGCCTCTATCGTACTTATGGCTAGTTTACATATATTTACAAATAATTATTATTTATTGAGTATATATTTATTTATATCAATTGAGTTATAATATAAATTTCGTCTAAAGTCTAATAATAGTTACATAAAATAATTGTACAAAAGATTGTTAAATAACACACTAATATCACTCAGTCAAAATATCTTTGTTTTCACAAAAATCTAAATCACATCCACATAATGGTACACAGTTGACATGATTTTTCTTGCAGTTGCAAGCATTAGTTTTGCAAGTCTTTTTGCATGTGCACCGTTTCCCAACTCACCACTATCAGACATATAATATCCATATTGTGCAAAATCGAGAGTTTGATAGCGGGAATATATATGGAATTTCGCCAAATATTATATGTTTTAGCGAAAGCTCTTAACAAGTGTTGGTAAAGTGCGCCAGAGGTACAAGGTATATTGGCTAGATTAAATTAAATTTTTCAGTCACACTGTCTTTTCGTCGAAGAGCAGCATTTTGTATTGTTATGTAAAAATCTACTTTAGGTTTTTGCACTAACTTAATATTGTTGATGTTATTACAAAAAATACAAACTAAATTTTCTTCGGTAAGTTTTCATTTAAGAAGAGATACGGAAAAAGACATTTTAAATCCATTCACAATTTTTTTAATAACACATTAATAATATAATACCCTTTTATTGGGCATTAAACAATAGTCTTCCTAATGATCGTTTAAGTAATAACAAATTAAGTATGAGCGCGCGATTGTTAAACAGGTAAAAACTTGCATTTTTGCGATAGTATATTGTTTTTAAACACCGCGCAATTTAAAATTAAGTTTACTAATATTAATATTTACTGCATTGTATTATTTAAATAATAATTTAAAAATATTATTTACAATTGATATAAATAAATATATACTCAATAAATAATAATTATATTGTTCAAATTTGGAAGAAAAAAAAAACTGTATACGGTTATTATATTGCGATGATTGATTTATTTAATTAGCCCAATGACAATAATTAATACCTACATAAATAAATTACGAAAAAAACTATGTTAATAAACTTCAAGGATTTGTTTGGGTACGATAGAAGCGCACTATAGCGCGCCGCGCCGCGGCAGCTGAAAAATCGAGTGTACGCGCGAATTTAACAATTAATAAACAACGGTCTAAATTAAAATAAGCCCCGATTACTCTTCACAATCTTGAAGTTGAATGTTTAAACTTTAATTTAGACACTTGGTAACCTCAAAAATAATAATTTACATAAATATGTGTTTTCAAGCCTCAAAAATGCGTATTTTCGCGTTTTTCAGACTTTAAATCGCTTATAACTCGAAAAACTATTAACTTTAGAGAAAAATGACAAGAGACCTTTTTTATTTAAAATGACCCAAAAAACCTAAAAAAAACGTTTTCCAGATTAAAAAAAAATATTTTTGGAATTTGTTTAAAAAAAAATGTTTAAACAATTTCTGCCCAAAAATTTCGCCCGGCACCCTTCAGATTTGTTTAAAGGGGACATTTTTGAACCGGAATCCGCGAAGAAACCGAATCAGAAACATTTTCCCAACGGGAGCGGCCTCACAGCCTGGACTATACAAGATTCCTAATTTTAAAAAGCTACAATTCAAAAATTATGACGATTCCACTGACGGACATCTCCGGAAAAAATATTACTACACATGGTTTAGCCTGTGGTCAGCGTTGGACCTACAGAAAGCAAGTTTACGTCTTTTCTCAAGAATTATTACATTATTTGGAACGAAAATAAGTTTACAAGTAGCGTAAAAAATTACTCCGTTTTGAAATAAGTTTAAATAAAAATAATTATAGATTCTTTGGATAGTAACAGATACAAAGACCATACACAAAATATTGTTATAAAAAATAATTGTATACCAACAAACAATATTCCTACTATTAAAATATAGCTATGATTTAAATTAATTTAATTATTTTACTGTTGTATTAAAAATTGTATTTTATTCTTACCTTAAAGTTGTTGGAAAAAGATCTACTACAACTGACACAACTATATTTACTGCTATATTTCCAATGGCAGTAAAGATCGTAATCAAGGTAGTGGTCACTTCTATACTGCTCGAAAAATATAGTGCCATACTACAACCTGCTGCGGTCAAAGCGTAGAGCACTAAAATTTGTATTAAATATAAATTATTTTACCTTATATTAATTTAAGATAAGCTATTTCGATACAAAAAATAATAATATCCTGACAATTTCGCTTACCTAGTACTGGTTTTTTTCCCAAAAGATTAATAACACTTATTGTGACAAAATATCCTGCAATTGCTGAAGTGGATACGATCATGGAATTGATATAAACTCCTGAGCTTCCAACGTTCTAAAATAAAGAATAATTATTATTAGCACGAAAAATTAATTCGATTAAGTTACTTTATAGATATTCACAAAATAATGTTACACGTAACTGACAATAACTAAAATTTACATAAAATAGAAAGTCACAATTTCTTCCTGATAAATAAAAAACCAGAAAAAAAGATTAGAAGAATGGTAAGACTTGAATTGAATAAAAGCATCAACTCTACTTTCTTTTTAACGTTTTTACTCTACGTGCTAAAGAGCACATTAAAGAGTGAGTACATTAAAACTTTCATATTAAAATATAAAAATTATACAAACCGTTGTACAGCTACTAGTATTTTTAGGTTGAAGAACATCCAACATGGAACATAAATCTGCAGTACTTCCATTGTTAAAAATTTTGTAATCCTCCATTGCTTGAAACAACTGGGGAGACCACAATCTCAACATATTCATACTAAAAAAAGTATAGAGAATAATTTATACTGCAAATGGCTAAAAATATATAGAATGTATATCTATCATAATATAATCTATGTAGGGTAGGTTGGCCTATATTGGACCGGCTCCTAAATTAGACATTTGCAAATTTGACAAAAAAACCAACAAGTGGTGCTGTCCATTAATACCAACTAGAACTACATCATAAAACCTGTTAGATTTTCAACACGTGTGCAGCTGTAAACAACGGTTGAAAAAAATATTAGTCTTTTCGTGATTATTTAACTTAATCACTTAAGAAAGTAATCACAACATTTATAAATTCTTTATTTCTTCAGATTCATTAAAAAGGCCATACTTTAGGGATTATTTTCGTGACCTAACCTCCAAATTGGTAAAACCCGTTGTGGTTGACATTTGATATTATTTAGCTTTAGAACAAGGTTTCTTAAATTTAACCAGCAATTGACTTGTAAATTGGACCGGTCCCATTTAGGCAACCGTATTGTTAATTTAACCAGTATGTTTGTAATGTAAACTTTTATTTCAGTATGTCATCACTTGGTAAAGCGAAGCACAGAAGAAATGCTATTTCCACTGTTCGTAATGGTTCTTATGAGTTTAATAAATGTGCAAGGTTGCTTTAAGTACCTAAAGCTATATTAAAAAGACATCTCGAAGAGAAAAACAAACAGGCAAATAATGCAATTAAGAAATGTGCAGGTTTACTGTATTTAATGAAGAAGGTGGCAGAATTGGCTAAGTATATTTTAAAACACAATTTCAACACAGATAAACGTATGACAGGAAAGATGGCAAATGGCTTCATGTCAAGACATAAAGAAATATCATTACGGTAGCTGAAGAAAACATTAATGACAAGAGCTGCAGGATTTAGCAAAGGACGAGTTAATAAATTCTATGAACTTTTACACACTTTGGAAGAGGACTTTGGACTTTGTGAAGAGGAAAAATTAACCGCCACATGCATATTTTACGTCGATGAGATAGGCTGTTCAACAGTATAACGACAATGTCAGAAAATATTAGCCAGGGAGGACAAACATCAAATTGGAAGCATTTCTAGTTAAGAGGTTATTAAATACTATTGTGATTTGTTTTGCTAGTGCAGCAGGGCAGTTAGTACCACCCAAAATAATTTTAAAGGGAAACGTCTTTATAAGAAACTTTCATTAGGTGCTCCGCCTGGCAGCAATGTCCCTATTAGCAATACTGTTTAACTAGATATGTTTACGGACCTAAAGGAGGCAGTGTTGTGTTTTAGGAAAGTAATATGGTTGGTTAAAAACTTTAATTTTCATTTAGAGTCATTACAGACGTCTTGAAGCAAAGTATATTGCTATTCTGTAGTGACCTGCTTGCTCACTTGACCATAACCCTATAGGGCATTGTGGGATATGCTTAAAAAAGGATTAGACCTTGCCAGAATAATTTACAAAACACTGTACATCTAGTACAAGTTGCTCTTTTTACCATTTGTTTAGGAGCATGTCTACGAGACTTGAAGCTTGCATAAGGGCTAGTGTTAGTAACCCTGAGTACTAAATAAAAACAAAAATAAATAAAAACAATCTAACGATCATTCCTTGTAGATTTGTAGGTTGATTTTTTAAATTCACTTAAGATAATAAGAAATATCAGATAATTCTATATAAGTTGGATTGTGTGTAAAAGCTTTAGTAATACTAAGGTATTAAGGCAATATTTCAACTACACCTATACCAACACTTTTATAAAGAAAAAACAACATGTCTTTCTCAACATATTAAAGTTAACAAAGATACAAATACTGAAGAAACTATTTACTGTTTATACTTTAAAGTATAAACACAGTAACAGAAATATTAGCAATTTTCAAGACAAGTAATATCGATTAAATAGTTCTTAAATATATAAGACAAATAAATGTATATATTGCAAAAAAAATTACCTTTGAAATAAAAGAAACTGTATTATACAGAGCAATGCAAATTTAGATAAATATGGAGCCTTAAAAAGTGGAAACAAATTTGAAAATTCTTCTTTCATTGCATGTTTTACTGATAGATTTTGGTGTGATTCGTCAGTCTCCTTTAATAATTCTTTTACCTGCAAACAAAAAGAGTTTAGTATAAAAGCAAGCCTTAAATTATTAGGTTGTAAAAATTTTAATCTTGATGTCCATCTTTATTAAGTTTATTTATTTATTTATTTATTTATATTAACGGTAGAACCATTTACAATAAAATACAACAAATAGTATTATCTACTATAAACAAAACAATAACAAAAAAAAAAACAAGTACACAGTAAAAATTTGTACACTACAACAGTATATCAAATCACAAAAATTAAAAAAAAGTATCACATCTAGATTAATAATTAGATTCTTCAGTTGCCTTTTGGAAGCATTAATATTTGGGCAGAAAGGATCCAATAGGAGGTCATTGCAAGGGCTGAGCATTCTCGACAAGGAAAAATGAGCATATTCAATCCTATGAAAAGAAATATAAAAGACTGCAGTGTGTCGAGTTCTATGTATTGCGTTTAAGTGTACATTCGCTAATAACGAGGGAGAGTTAATAACGTTGTTTAGAATTTTAAACAAAAATAACACATCAGCTTTCAACCAGCGGTTCTTTAGTGTAGAAATGTTAAATTGAGACATTATTATAGAATAATCTATGAAATAATTTTCAGTATTTTTTATAGTAATATGTGCTTTAAAAGCTAAAGATCTTAAAAACTTTCTCTGAACGCTCTCCAATCCATCAATGTATACTTGATGAAATGGGGACCAAACAACAGAGCGGTATTCAAGACTTAAGCGTACCAGGGAGCAATACAATAATTGGAATACAATATGTGAGAGATCATGACTGTTTTTATAAATATAACCAAGGTTATAAAATCCTGTTTCCTAAATTTTAAGAAAATGGCTTGTAAATGTCAATGCACAATCCAGTAAGACACCCAAATATCTAATCTCAGTAACTGAATCCAAGAGTACATAGCGGACTACATCGTATATATAATATACGACATATGACAAATAAAAAATAATAATTCTGTATGTATTTAAAAATAGCAAACACCATAATCAAGCAAACTTTAAAGTAAAAAAATACAACGCCTTTAATTAAAACGAAATTAATTAATTTAAAGTAAAATTAAATTTTTAATAATATTATTCTACATACCGGATATGTTTCTGGAAGCTTTCCAGTGTTAATGCTATAAACTCGTTGAAGTATTTTCATTGCTTCCTCATTTTTTCCAATCGTCATTAAAAATTTTGGACTTTCCGGAAGAAAACAAAAGATCACTCCACTGGCAAGTGGAAATAGTCCAATTATAAAAAGGTATAAATTCCACGAACGAAATTCTGGAAGTAATAATTAAGTTAAAATAAAACTAAATTCAAAAAGTAAAGAGCAATAATATTAAGAGTTAGAAAAGTTTATGAATCGAGAAAGTAGCTTGCTTAATTTCTGTAAAAAATCTTACTAATACGTAGGAATTAAAAAGGAAAGTAGTACCAGTGATCACTTGTTAATTGTGAAAATTCTAACCGAAAAATAAAATAAATATAAGATTTCAATATATGCAGCCTTTGTAGATTTAACAAAGCTTTTGCCCACTTCACAACAGTGGGGCAGACTACAGATATACTAAACTTATTTAGAGAAATCATCATCAGAAATCAAAAACACGAATGAAGGTGCATAAACTCACAGAACCGATAACACTGAACAAAAAAATAAGGTAAGGCGACACAATAATAAGGTAAGGTAACCGAAGTTGTTTAACCAATCAAGAGAGAATGTGATCAAGAAAGTAAATGGGCACAAGAAAGAAATAAAAATCATTCGACAATAAATTTAGCATTTACGGTACGCTTCTCTGTCTGGTAAAAACTAATTAAGAGAAGTTAAAGAATATGCTTGACACTAAAACACTTTCTACCAAGCAATTTATCAGGCGGGGACTAAATACATGGGTAGAAAGCGATTTTTCTTATCTATTAGAGTATTTGATACTCTATCGTATCCAGCGAGAGAAACAATAATTGCAAAGACAGTAAATTTACGTATATTTTGGGAAAGTTGAATCGTGCTGACTCAGAATTCAAAGTTAATAATCACGGCATCATAGTTTTCAGATGGCAAAATACTAAAGACTTGTTACTGTTGCTAGACATGTTAGACAATTTCTTTGCGTAAGTAGAAGTGAAACGAAAAATGAAGAATGATTCTAAAGTGAATGTGCGGTGTCCTGAACTTATTGACATGTACAATAAGAAAATGGGCGGCGTGGACCTAACAGATCATATTTTGGGCTTGTCTGACTCTGATAGGAAGTCTACCAAATGGTGAAAGAAGGTATTTCTTTGCTTTCTAAAGATGGCTGTTGGAAATTCTCATGTACTACACATTGATCCAAAACGGAAAGAAAAAGTCATCATTTTTTTGTAATTAGTGTAGCTGAGGGACTTATCTCATGGAAAATAAGCCATGCTGCTGTTAAAAGAAAATCCGCAACTTCACTTGTACGTTTTCCAGCAAACAAACACAAAAATTTTTAACGTAAAAGATCATTTACCTATCACAGGAAAGATATGCAAAAAATGTCAGGCATGTTTTGCTCAAAAAAAAACAAACCACCATATTGTTAGAGCTGCAATGTACGCTTATGCAAAACATGATCTTAGTGTTAGTCCTTTTGTTTTTAAAATATGAGATTTTATTTGTATTTTCGATTTTTCTTTACCAAAATAAAGTAATCAGTGTCTGTTATTATAGTTTCACATATAATTACGTTTCAAGAAAGTCTGACTAGTACATATATTCTTCTTCAAGTTCCACTCCTATCGGAGATTGGAAATCATTCTGGCAATTATAATTTTATTGGTTACTCGCCTGAATAGTTCAATTAAACTGCATCCAAACCACTCACGGAGATTGCGTAGCCACGAGATTTTACGTCTTCCTACGCTTCTTCTACCTTTGATTTTACCCTGCATTATATTTCTTAGTAGTTCGTACTTTTCACCTCTCATGATGTGCCCCAAGTATTCCAATTTCCTGATCTTTATGGAATTTAAAACTTCGCATTGTTTTCCTAGTTGTTCGAGAACTTGTTCGTTTGTTTTGCGATCCATCCATGATATTTTCAAAATGCGTCGGTAACACCACATTTCGAATGCTTCTAGGTTTTTAATGTTGGATTTTTTAAGTGTCCAAGCTTCAACTCCATACAAAAGGGTAGAGAAAATATAACATCGAAGCATTCTTATCCGGAGCGATATACTGATATCGCGATTACAAAAAAGTTTTCTCATTCTATTAAAAGTTGACTTGAAATCTTATTTCTTTTGTCTGATCAGTATCTTCTGTGATCCATGCTCCAAGGTATTTGTACGAAGATATTTGTTCAATTTCTGTATTATCTAGTACTAGCTTAACTTTGATGTTTTGTGCTTTTGTAAATACCATGAACTTGGTTTTCTTCAAATTGATTTTTAGTCCATAATCGTTGCAATATATATTTAGTTGTTCAGCAAGGTGTTGCAGTTCTTCTAGTGTTCCTGTCAAAAGGACGGTGTCGTCAGCATATCATATGTTATTAAGTGGCTCACCGTTTATTATAATGCCCTCACTGATCTCGGCAAGCGGTAATTCTGAGATGGCTTCACTGTATAAATTGAATAACAAGGGTGATAAAATACACCCTTGGCGGACCCCACGGCGAATCTGGATATCCTTGGTCAGTTCGTTTTCAACTTTCACTTTTGCTGTTTGATTCCAATAGAGGTTACAGATGATTCTAATGTCTCTACTGTCTATGTTTTTATTTAATAAAATTTCTTTAAGTCGATTATGATGCACTCTGTCAAATGCCTTCTCAAAATCAATGAAACAGGCATATACTTCCTGATTAATATTTAGCATCTCTGCGAAAGAACACTTACTGCAAACAGTGAATCTCGTGTTCCCAGTCCTTTCCTAAATCCCATTTGTGTATTACTTATGCCTTCATCTAATTTCTTATGTATTCTATTGTGAATTACTTTTAAAAACAATTTCAAGACATGACTCATTAAGGCTATGGTGCGATGTTCATTGCACTCCTTTGCATTGGCTTTTTTGGGAAGCAGTATTAATGTGATTGGAGCCATTCTTTAGGTATTATACCTGTTCATATATGTCCCGGACCAAATACCGGATCTCAAGGATAAAATTAATCCCAATCACTTCTATTTTTGCATATTAATAAGTTTTAAACAAAAAAAAATTCTAAATTCCATACAGATCCTAAAAAAAATCCGACTTGAAAGGAATAATTTAAGAAATGTAGTAACAGATAACTATCAAAGCATTATCTTGTGCATATTACTTTTAAATGTTTTTAAGTTTAAAACAAAATTTAATAACTTACGAACTAATCCATTAAAAAGTGACCAGTTAATTGGTAATGGTAAAATTCCCCATGCCAATAACGGCATTATCACCTGTCCTGTACACATTAGTGCTCCGTTGACCAGTTGTATTTTTGACCTGTACTGAGCTGAGTGAAATTCACCCAAATAAGTGGCCATTGCTGTAAATGGTCCATTAATTCTAAAAAAGAACATTTATAATCGTAATAACTTCAAATGAACAATAAATATCTAAATCCAGGAAGCTAGGTCGGTAAAGTTAGAGTTCTATATATTAAAGTTATACTATTATTTTTATTTTGATTTGACATTTGACTATTTTGTCAATCAAATGTTCTTGTAGACATACTTCAGTTTTACAGTGTGTCCCAAGGATTTTTTGTTATTATTAAAATATAACTATATTAATATTATTCAAATGTTGAACTGATCTTAAATGTGTGGCTTGCACCTTGTCGATTTTGGCTACACCAAGCTTTCTTTTTTCTCTCTGAAGTCTTCATCAGGACCTTTAGGGTCTCAATCTTCACAGTCTTCATTACTGTACAGTACAGTATTGCTTGGATTAGTGATCGATCTAGTAGTATCTGGGGGCTTTGACGACTGAGACCTCGGAAACCCTGAAGAAGACATCGAAGAGGATGTCGAAAGCTCGGCGTAATATTATTCGACGCGGTTCAACCCGGAAGACTGGTAAGTTTATTATTAATTCCTGTAATAGTATTAATCTTAGCTTAAGGTTTATTTGTATTAACCGTGGAAACCTTTTGGGACTTGTCAGTTAATTAAACATGGTATTTAATAAATTTATTCTATAATTCAACACAACATATTTATTAAAACGATTGCTAATAATAATTCGTTTATAAAGTAAACTACTTACATGACACCTCCAATAAATTTGCTAATCATTAACATTTCAAGACTTTGTGAAAAAGAACTGATAAACACAACAATTGCGTCTAACAAAAATCCATATACCATAAATTTCCTCCTTCCAAAGGTATCCAAAAGAAATCCCCATATAAACGATGTGGATATCATTCCTGTAAGAAATAAAAAACAGAAGGTACATTTATTAGACTTGTTATGTTAGAAATAGAAAAAAATAAACACTATAGACACTATAACAAGAAAATAATAAAATAGAAAGCAAGGTTTAGATATCTGGGAACAGACATAACTTAGTTTCATGGATGTTGAAGAAGAAGTACCACAACAAAGCTTAAAAGCAAGTAATGCGGAAGTATCTCTTCATGACTTAATTCGGAAGAACAAATACCTAAAACAAGACACCAAAACAAGAATCTATAAACCAGCAATTGGCAGACCAACAAAAATATGGTGCGACAATTTAAACAATTTAGGATATTATTGAAGAAGATAGAGACTTTTAAGCCTACATACAAGAAGGAAAAAGAAGAAGAAAAAGAAGATATCACAAAAAACTGCCAAAGATACACTTTATCGGCAAAGGTGCATTCAAGCAACCAAACATCGCTTGTCTGACGTCATCGGTATAGCTTGACTCTTGAATTCGACCTAAATCCTTAAAGATCTAAAATGAAAACGATAATAGTACTGAAATAATCTCAGCACTACAATGCTAGCCAAAAGCCCGGCCCCAGAGTCACGACTTTGGAACTTCCACAAGTGCTCCTGATGAGGTGTTGAATAACTCGAGATACACGTTTAGAACTGTGGTGAAATTAGAATTGAAATAAAATGCCATTTTTTTACTGTCATATATATATATATATATATATATATATATATATATATATTATATATATATATATATATATATATATATATATCATATATATATCATATATATCATATATATATATATATATATATATATATATATATATATAGAGAGAGAAAAGAAATTTAATCTTTGCAGATAAGTTAAATAGTAAACTCTTAAATATTGGCAAATATTTTGCAGATTTCCCCAATATTTAAGAGTTTACTATATATATATATATATATATATATATATATATATATATATATATATATATATATATATATATATATATAGTAGTGTAGTGATCAGTAAACAGAGTAGTAGTGTCTGGGAGCTCGGGAGACTAAGACCTCGGAAGAAGACGTCAGAGAGGATGTCGAAAGCTCGGCAAAATGGATATCGACGCGGTTCAACCCGGAAGACTGTTGAGTTTGATATTAATTTTTGTAATAATATTAATCTTAGCTCTAGGTTTCATATATATATATATATATATATATATATATATATTTATATATATATATATATATATATATATATATATATATATGTATATATATGAACCTATTCATATACCTATATATAATGTATATTAATATGGAATGATTACTGTATAAAATGATTACGCATAAAAACAGATTTTTAGATTCATTTCAAATATTTTTTTTACAACCTATTAAATTCTATTTTACATAAATATTTAAACTGAATTTTCGTCTCACCTGCGTAAGCTATGCAGTTAAGATAACCTTTATCCTGTAAGGAAAGGTTAAGATCACATTGTGCAGGAGCAAAAATATAGGACATCGTCGTTGTTTCAAATATTGGAGCAAATATTCCGCAAACGGCTGCTAGTACAAGTAAAATATTGAATTTTCCAAATCCAGTTTTCTCTATTGCCTCTTCGAATGTGGTGGGGCCATGTACTAAAAAACAGAAAAGTGGCGATTAATATTTTTATTATTTCTTTTCTACATCAGAATTTGGAAACAAAATAAGAAGCTCTAGTTCTATTAAATTAAAACTTTGATAATCAAATACTTATTGACTTATTCGAATAGTTTTACTATTAGATTAATATTTTATTATTAAGTTTAGTGGCTGAATATCACATTTTTGTGGGCATTGTTATTAAACTTATTGCTGTGTGAGGATCAGGATTGAGGTAGATTAAACTGACAAAGAAACATAACAAGGGAACGAAAAGATGGCAGAGAAGATTGATGTGTAACTTAACTGTTTTTCTTTTCCGATCATCAATGGAAATAAAAATATTTGTTTGAGTAAGTCGTCAGTGTTTAGTTCGGGAAAGAGAGGATTGCTATAAAGTCGAGTGATTACTATACATATAAAATTTTACTAAAAGTTTACATACTTTTACTAAAAGTAAACATGAATATGCACTTATAGTCCAAGAAATAACTAAAATAAGTAAAAATAGTAAAAAATCCCTAAAATTTTTTATATGCATCCTATTTTCTTGAAATTTTGACAAAAGTAAAGAAATAGGTTTAAGAACAAAATCTACGCTATGACATTATGTGCTTTCTGGAAAAAAAAAACTTGGAATAAAAATGTGCTCCCATACAAAAATCATGTTCTTTTTTATTAAAGATTTTACTTTGTTCTATTTCTATAAACACAAAATTAAAGAGCGACAGCAACACTATTGACCGGTTACAGGGGTTCTCATTATATTTTTACCCCCACTTATTTTCGTTAATTTCAGAAATACAAAAACAAGTTTTAAATAAAAGTTGTAATATTTTATCTGTACCGACCAACAATGTAGCAACAGATCAAATTTTGTATACAGGGAGTGCCCAATAAATCTTCAATATTTCAAATTGGACACCCTGTATTTTTTTTAAGTTTTGAGTAGCCCTGCATTTCATGATTACCAATATGTAACATTGTGTGGCATTATATTTGCTCTATATTCGCATATGGTACTACAAAAGGATAACCATAGGTGGCTATGCTACTGACATTTCAAAATGAAACAATTATTAATTTATAATAAACTGTCGGTCCTTATACTGAAATGGGTTATACTGCAGATATATTCTCAATTTATGTAACAAAATAAAAACAAGCCAGCGCCAAGAAGGGAATATAGGCTGATATATTCAGATCGACAAACTTCTGCAAATACATTTTTATATAATTATCGTCATGTCATAAATATTCGTTGTCATTGAACAGAACAAACGTACTAACGTAGGCAATGATGATGAAGATCATACTACTTTTCTTTACTTTGAAGGTAAAAATTAAATACGTAAATAATAAATAAAATCCATAATAACATTTTTATTTTAGAAAATTCCGAAACTAGTCTAAACACTGCTATTGATGTATTAGAAAAAGCCGTGCGACGATACATAGAGTTTTAAAAAAGCACAACTATAAGCCGTACAAAATATTACCGGTACAAGAACTTACCCATGTTCATAAGAGAAAGCGTTTACAGTTCTCTCAAGACATGCGTACAAATTTGAACAATGATCCTAATTATTTTAATAACATTTTAGGGACAGATGAATAAAATTTTTCAACTTCAGATATTTTTAATATAAGAAATAGGTATTCTTGGAAACAGATCGATAATAGAAAAAGAAAGATTAAGCAAATAAAAAAGTCAGGAACAAAATCAATAAATGTGTGGTGCAAAATATTTCAACACAAAATAGTTGGACCATTGTTCTATGATTATATATTAACTGGAGAAACATATTTGGACACAGTCATTACAGAAGTGGATGAGCTATGAAATCAAAAGTTATTAGACTGTTTTGTAAATTGGCCTACTCAGGAGAAACACGACCTGACACAGAGAGGACAAAAGGATGTTAGAAACAGCAGAGATAAAAAAAAACTTAAAAAATTGAAGGAAAAATAACAGGTAGACGATCAGCAGGAAGACCGCTAAAACGATAAAACAACTACTTACAACTACTTAATAGGGGCGCATTGAAAACAGACAAAGTCGTGTCTATATAAAAAGAAGAAAAAGAAGTTATAGTTGATAACAAGTATTGTAATATTGTTTGCTTGCTGTTTTTAATAAAAGTTGTTATAAAGAAGTGTAACAATGTACCTTGGATATATTTTGTGAATTTATTGCTTATATTTTTAATATTATGTATTTGTAATAAAGCGGCGAATTTTATGTACAATTTTACAAACTACAACGTGTCAAGCTGCGTGAAATCCTTTTATGTACTTCCCTTACCCTTGCTTTAATTTATATGCAGAGGCCTAATCCTCTCCAAAGTCAAAATTAGCAAAATAAAACTTAAAAGATTGTTAATTTGCTACTAACATGTGCTACTACTATGCAAATTATGAGTTTAATAAAAGTTATTGTAGTAATGCAGGTGCTTATTAAAGGATGTCTCCACTGTGCACGCTTTAATCTTAAATAAATATTTTATAATATTATGCCATAACGATACCATTCTCTAACCAAGCAAAAATAATAAGTAACTTTTTAGAACTACTTGTTTAAATTATATTAACTTACTGCTTTTAATAGACGGTTTTGGTTCAGGTAAGCAAAACTCCATTTTTTCAAAATATTGCCAGACACACTTTACTAAACTTAATGTACATATTATTTTGACTACACTAAATCTACCACACGTACCGCTCTTGTGATATTATATATTATACAAATAGATTAAATTTTATTTATTTATGTATTAAGGTTTCTTTTAAATTATATAAGTAATATTTGTTAAAAATGCATTGTTTTATTCAAAGGATTAAATATGATAATAAATGATAAAATTTCTTTAAATATGTTATCTAAGTGGTAAAAAAGCAAATAAAAATATTTGCTTTACCGATTGTGCGTTCCGTACGTCATATCAATCGGTAAGACGTGATTTACATCTTCTTTTTTGTCCTGTTTACTATAAGATTAATACTAGCAGGAGTTCGTTTTAGAAATATGATGAAATATCTTTGGAAGAAAGGTAAGTATTAAAACGGTACGATGTTTAGATCTCAAGTAGACTCAAAAGTAATATTGTGGGGTCAAATTTGACCCCACATATTTTTAATATGTTGATCCCGATGAAAAAATAAAACTATCCTTAAGGTCTCTATGTAAATCGTTTATAACCTATATAAGATCCCTATTTCATGTTGTTAATATTGTGTGTTGAATAAACACTTTATTTCCTTTTAGACAAACAAACTTTGTGTAGAATTGACGAATTAATTATATACAACAAACTAATAAACAAATACACTAAACAAACTAACAACAAAATAGGTAATATTTAAAATTGAAGAAATTGTTTAATTGAACGGAAAATGTGTGCAGTCAAAAATTCCTTTAAATTTAGTTTAAATCTTGTCATACACATTTTAATATCCACTAGCGGACCAACTCGACTTCGAGTTTTTTAAATGAAATTTTTATTTTGCAAGAAAAATTAAGAGATCAATACAAACAATATAAGCAAGAATATACATAACATTCATCAATAATAATGCAAGTAAAAAGTGTATTAAATATCACGAAATCTTTCGTCGAAAACAATGTTTTTTGTTATAATGTCTCCATTTTCTGAAAACTTTTGCTTGGCACCTGGAGTTATTTAAACTTTTACTTTTTACTTTTTAATAAAAACGAAACCAGAAGACGACCTCAAAACCGGAATGCAATTTTTAGTTCATCAAATGTCGACATGGATATCATTTAGCAGCTAATTTTTCATGCTGTTCACGAATCCGGTGTCAGATTTGCTCTATCTTGACGGTTTATGCGCGTTTCGGGTCACTTCCGGTGTCGGATCGCAACTGGAAGTACATATTTAGATTCGTCTCGACGAGACCTTTCGATCCATATATACATTGTGGGGTCTGAAACTTAAAGTAAATTTTAACTTCCGGTCATCTCAAAACCGGAAGTGAATTTTTGTACCAAAAGTATATCTTGACAATCTCATACGTAATACTGATAATATTCCGAAAAAATATTTTAATTATCTAATATAGTTTTTGAGTAAAGTGGTGGACAAGAAAAGGGCTTAGCGTTTTAGTATATAAGATTGGTAGTCTATTAAATATTCTTTATTCCATTATACTAGGAGACTTGAAATACATATTTCCCCGGCAAATTGGGGCATGCAAGGTATCTTTATACTCTAGTATTTAAGTTTTGAACTCGTCCGTAGGTTTTAAAAATTCAAAGATTATTAAGTATCTAGTATTATCCCTAAAATATTATAATTCATATAAAGAAAAAGTTTAAAAAAACGTGTAACATAGTTTCGCATTTGTTTATATAAAATATAAACCGATCTTCCGATAAAATATAGCGATCTTCCATTATGCATAACATCTTGTTTTAATAAATTTTAGGTCAATGAGATGAATTTCTCAGTTTATGCATACATTGTGAATTTTATGAGTTTTAAATAAAGTAAAATTAGTTTGAAATATTCGTGTTTTTTTTTTTCAGTCAAAAAAAATTGTTTAAAATTATTTAATTTGCAATACCCATGAAAGGGTAAATTTAATAAATACACATTTCATATAAACTTATTTAAATAGAATTCACCGATTAATATATTTTAAATTTCTTTAAAAGCAGCCTATATACTCAGAAGTATTACATTAAAAATAAGACAAGTAAAGGACATTCTGATAAAAAACTTTATCAGCCACTGTATTTCAATGTACATAAAAATATTAAAATTTTGTTTAAATAATACTAATAAACGAAGAATATAATTTTTATAATAACTCTGAAACTTTCCATGATGAAACACCACTAAGATTAGATAACTAATAAACTGATTACCAAATTATGTAAAATAAGCTTAGTTACAATAAAAACCATTGTTTTTTCTTATGTATGGATCATTTTAAAATATCACTTTTATATTTTTATATACAGACTAAATATATTTTTAGGTAATATATTTGGAAAAGGTTAATTATTAATAATTAGTAATACAATGGTAAATACTTTTAATTTATCATGGCTGAATAAATCAAGCATTCTAAAGCCAATAAAAAAGTAATATAATATTTTAACTGCATGATTGCCGCTACTTCATCTATGGACACATGCCCATGAAATATACCCAATTTTTAAAAGTTCGAATTAGCAATGGTCAATAATGGGCGAATATTAAACGATTTAGCGGACTTATGATTTTGGGCTTCTTAATTGTCCTAAAGATGTAAGAGAGACATTAATTCTAGGTCTTCCTAAAGTGAAAGTGAAATTAAAAATAACAACGGAGAGTTAATTCATAACACCAAAGATAAAATAGAAGAATGGGAAAAATTTATACAACAGCTGTTCCGAGATGAAAGAATAGACATTACAATAAATAATGTTACTGAAAGCCCACCAATTCTAAAAGTCGAAGTGGAATATGCCATTAAACAATTAAAGACCAACAAAAGCCCTGGACCTGATGAAGTTTATCCTGAAATACTTAAATTGATCGAAAGTAATAACATTGATTTGTTAGTAATTTTGTTTAATACAATCTACGATGCTGGGGAAATACCAGAGGAATGGTTAGAATCTATTTTTATTCGCATTCCAAAACAAGCTAACTCCAGGCGATGCGCAGATTTTAGATTAATAAGTCTTATGAGCCAAATGCTTAAAATTCTATTAAAAATACTTCACAATAGGGTATACAAAAGGTGTGAAAAAGAAGTTGGATACGATCAATTTGGATTCAGAGCCGGAATGGGGACCAGAGAGGCCTTGTTTTTATTACAAGTACTGCTGCAGAAGCGTTACGACCAACAAAAGGATGTCTTTCAATGTTTTGTAGACTTTGAAAAGGCATTTAATCGCGTAAACCATAATAAAATGTTAAATTCCTTGCAGAGCATCAACAAAAGTAATGGTGATCCAAAGAAAACAGAATATCCCCTTACCTATAAAAATAAATGGGAATATTTTAGAACAGGTAAACCAATACAAATACCTTGGCTGTTGGATTAATTTCAAGCTGGACCCAAAACAAGAAATTAAAGCGAGAATTGCTCAAGCTAGGGATAGTTTCTTTAAGATGCGCGTTCTATTCTGCGATACACATATAAATATTAAATTGAGATTAAAACTTGTAAAATGTTTTATCTGGTCTGTTCTTCTCTACGGAGTCGAAACGTGGACTTTAAAAATAAAGAGCCTGAATAGAATCGAGGCATTTGAAATGTGGGTATACCGTAGAATTTTAAAAATTCCTTGGACAGCACGAAAAACAAATGAAGAAGTACTAGCTAGACTCAATTTAGAAAAATAACTATTGAGAACAGTCAAAAGAAGAAAAACCAGTTATTTAGGGCATTTGTTGCGCAAAGAGAAATACTACATCCCTCAGTTGATAATAAAAAGCAAAATAGAAGGAAAGCGAGGAATTGGAAGAAAAAAATTGTCCTGGCTACGCAATATCAGAAACTGGACAGGACTTGGATTTGAGGAACTCTTAAGAGCAGCTGAAGATAGACAAACGTTTGCCACCATAACCGCTAACCTCCATTGATGGAGACGGCACTTGAAGAAGAAGAAAGTGAAATTCCTGAAATGGTAAAATGAAAGACTTTTTGATGACGCCAATAATTTTGTTCCCTGGTCAAAGTATGGAATCCTGCAAACATTAGAAACCCAATCAAAGTCCTTATTTCGTATATTGTTGTAGTAAAATTCTGTCTATTCTTTACCTCTTTAGCATGGCGAATTGTTTCGTAATAATATCGTAAAATTTATTAACAAAAAAATTGTTGAAAATATTTTACAGGAGTTTTTATGTTACTTACAACATGTTGTAAATTTTCTATATTTATGTCACCATTTTGGGAAAATTGTGTTGCAGACGAGGTTTTTTTTTAAATTGGTCTTTAGCTTCTGCGGCTTTTTTCGTGTTTTAACATCAGAGATGTCCTTGGCCCTTCCGGCTCCTCATCGCTTTGTTCTTTATTTTCTGAATCTTCTGGAGGATTTATTATCACTTCAACAGTAACAGAAACATCAGCTACGTCTGGTCCATTACTGTTGTCATTGGCAAAGCCGGCTTCATCTGATTGGTAATTAATTTCTAATGAAAGCACAGCGATATTCGCTTTGACGTCCTCTGAAAATCAGTACTTCAAGGCTTCTTTCATTGTTTTGAACTTAGAAATCTTAGAATAGATATTATCGCATTAAAACAAGTATACATCAATTTAAAAGAGATTAAAGCTGGCTTGCCACAAGGGAGCGTATTAGGTCCGGTCCTGTACCTATTGTATACGTGTGACATTCCAGAGCTAGAAAAACACTAGCGATAGGAGTTACTAGTCAACTATTAGCAAATAAATACAATACATATGTGGACCAGACAATGGCGGATAAATTTAAATGAGACTAAATCTGTACACATTAACTTTTCAATTAAAAAAATTGAAAATTTCCCAGTTAGAATAAATAATACCCAAGCTCCTTATGCAACATCAGCAAAATACTTTGGCCTCACCCTAGACTCGAAGCTGCGCTGGAAAGACCATGTCAAAATAAAAAGAGGGGAGCTTGATATTAGATATAAGAAATTGTATTAGCTGATTGGAAAAAGTTCAACATTATCCATTTATA